ATGTTCTTGAAAATTTGTTACGATGTGTGCGTGAGATATCGATATGGTAGTAAATATGAACACATCACTACACACTACTACATCAATATCGCACGCATACATACTCACAAATCGTCGGTAAAACAGCGAATTTTTGGAGTTTGATCTCGGGTTTAGGATCCCCTTAAACTCTCTCGATTCTGTTATTTCCAAAGAGTTTATTCATTATTTTTTACCACCATGATGAAAACGTAGATGTGATCCGTGCTAATCATGCATTATAAAATATGTATATAACATATATTAATGCAGTATTATATTTATTATTATATATATTTTAAATAAGAATTTATATTTATGACACAATGTCATTGTCATATCATATAAAACTAAATTTTTTTTATAATTTTATAATTTACGTCGGTCTTACATCTTATCGGTATTTTGGACATTCTGTCTTACCAACAGGATTGATATCAGTTTACAAATTGCTCCATTGCGGCGTAAGTGTCATGGTTTTTTAACGGGTATATTGACAAACAAATCGTAGCTTTAGAGCTTTAGACTTTAGGTACTCGATACATGATCTTAAATTATAATGATGAAATAAAAATAGAAACAAGGATAGAATGAGTAACGGCAATTAAAGTACGCTTTTTTATAATATATATTTATATGATATTTATATTGATGATACAATTAGTATATTATCTTATTTATGTAATTGTTAAATATTCTCGTATATGAGTGAGAGCAAATATTCTTTTTATATACCATTATATTAAACAGCATATAAAAAGATATATAGTGATATTATTTATTAGTATTAAATGGCATATTTATGTTAAATGGATATAGAATTGATAATTTACATTATTTACTAGATACCTGATATTTAAAATGTTGCACGAAATCTTACTGTCACTTTGGGGATGTTCGACAAGCGTATCGCAAATAATAGAGACAGATGTGAGTATATACAATATATTTCTTATATAACAAGAAGTATTAAACGATTTAAATTTAATATTATTTTTATGTGCTTCTCGTCAATTTCTGTTCTAGTCTATAGATCTCGATAAGTATCTACATCCTGGAGAACAGGCGTTACTCAATAAAATATTAGATATTGTGAAGGAAGGCAACGTCATACGAAACTTTATACATACAGGCAGCGAGGATACAGGAGGTAGGTTGAGAGGAAATATATTTGACGAAATGTATTTTATACAATTGACATGATCTCACGTTTAATTTAACCATTTTGTATTCTACAGAATATGTAGCACCTGGTCTTTACATACGCGCTCTTTGCGATGGAATGGATCGAGCACTGAAGCCATTTCATGAAGAAATAATCGAATTGGAGAACACAGTCTTAAATGACAGTCATACTCCATTGTCGTTAATTCTCTGCAGTGTTGAAAAGTACACATGTCTGTTTTCGGTATTACATTCTATCATCTCTGAGGTAATTAATCACATCTTTCTAAGAAAGATATTTCAGCTGGTTTTGGTATGGTTCAGTTGCTTTTTCAATGCAGATCAATATACAGTTTTTTCTGTTGCAATTTCTCTGTCACGTTAGCTAATTTACATGTGCAGAATTTTTTGTTAGGATGCTTCTAACTCTAGGGAGTTATATGGCACGTTATACCTAGACTTTAATGTAAATTTTCTCTTTTGATCATAAAATTATATTATCCTGTCTGCGCAATAAAATTACATATGACTCTATATTAAGACCTTGAAATAAGTACCGATTATGAATACTGGCCCAAGTGTATTAATCATATGCAGAATAATGAAAATTTAAATAACAAGTGTTCCTATGATGGTACTAAATCAAATAACTATTGTTATTCGCTTAGGCCGATATTTATAGACGCTTTATTACTATTATAAAATATTATATTTCATGTGATTCTATCAAAAAATATTACCAAATTTTTTAATTTTAGATTTGTACACAAAAACTCCACGGTTGTAAATTATTGCAATGTTTATACCAACGTATGCATACTGGCGTACCCGAGATTAACTCTACTTTGGAATTGTAAGAGATTTATGGCGAAACTCGACATTACTTTCGTTACGATGCTCATCTATTCGCTTTTAGGATGGCCCATTCTGTTCATATTATTTTCTACAAGCATTTAACGAGCTGGCTCCTGTATGGGCATCTGGAGGACCCTCACAGAGAATTTTTCATACAAAAAACATCGGATTGCGAGAAAACTTTGACACACGAGGATGGGAAGAACGACATTGATGCGCGCGAATCAATAAATGGCAAAAAGATTGATATCGATATGTGGGATTACAATGTTCAGATGGACATGCTTCCATCTTATATCAGGCCGTCGCTAGCTAATAAAATCTTGACCATCGGTCAGACCGTTATTATGTTTGGAAATGATCCCAGACAGAAAAAAGGTAAAAAATTGCGATTTTTAATGATCTAAAAAAGGAAACTACCTTGTTATAATTGTTACATCAGCAAATTTAGCAGCAGGCACTGCCATCCTGCTCGATAAAGAATAATTATTATGAAAAGTCAAATGTCTGCTTTAGATTTCAGCATGATGTCCAAGACAAAAAATTTCGTGTGGGGCGACAAAGAGTACGAGTATTTCAGGAAACTTCAGAATCTCCAGGCGAAATCTGTTTTCAACATTGTCGAATTCGACCGCACAATTAATGAATTGAAACAATGCGTGACCGAGCTTCTATGGCACGTTGCCGTCGAAGAGGCGCAGCTAATGCAACAGCTCAGGCTGGTAAAGGAGTTCTTCCTGATGGGACGCGGCGATCTCTTTTTAGAGTTCATCAAGCTCACAGCGCATATTCTGAATAAAGCACCCACGAATCATACATCCAGAGATATCAATCTCGCGTTTCAAATGGCGCTGAGGAAGATGCATCTAAACGACGAAAGCGCTATCGACAGCTTCAATTTCGTAGTGCCCGCGCTACCTTCTGAAAATGAGGACGCTGACGCGGACGTCATTGATCTTCCCGATAACGAGAAGCAGGATCCTAATGGTGCATATTTGCGTCACAAGATTTTTTTTTAAATATTCAGACACAAGATATCAAACGAACTTTTTTTTAATTTTAGAAAAACGTGGATGGGGCATGATCACGTTGAAGTACAAAGTTGTTTGGCCACTGCATCTGTTGTTTAATCCAATTACGTTGAACGATTACAACACTTTGTTTCGCTTTTTTTTGAGAGTTAAAAAGACCCAGATAGACTTGTGGAATCTCTGGAGCGAACACATGCATCACAAGGACATGTAAGTTATATATTTATAGATATAATTAATTTAAGATTTAATTAAAATTATTTACTTAAATTTATTTTAAATTTATATAAATTGAATTAAGTTTTAAGATAATTAACATTTTCGTCAATAATTACTATGGCAAAATGTATGTGATTCGCAGCGACATCGGCGTGATCCAATTGCGAAATAATTTAATCTTTATCATCGACAACTTGCAATATTATCTGCAAGTGGATGTAATGGAAAGTCAATACACTGTGATGGAAACGAGTATGAAGAGTACACGAAATTTCGAGGATATACAAAAGGCGCATTCGGTGTTCCTGGCTAATGTTATGTCGCAAACCTTTTTGCTAGGCAGTGGAACAGGAAAAAAGAATCCCGTAAATTTCGTTGAAATCAGTTATAAAGTTTAAAATTATGTAGAATGTCGACATTTAAGAATGGCTTTTTAACTCCAAGATTCTGTCTCGTTTCTAGTATTCATTAATATTTTTTTTAACAGGTGAATAAGCTGATACAGCTTTTGCTACGGCTGTGCGATGATTTCATCTTACAAGCGTCCATGTGGGAAGTCGGTAATTTGCTTTTAACGGAGAAAGAGGAGCTCAAAACGTTATGCGAGACACTTGACAGCGTAATGGATTGGTTAACAAAGACATTGAATAGAGTACGTGCACAACCTAGTGGCGAACACTTGGCTCGATTGCTATTGAGATTAGATTTCAACAGATGGTTTAGTAAAAAGATTTGAAAAAAGGTAAAAAAAAGTCACGTAGTGAATACATTGCGGTAAAACGGAACTACTAAAACAGGACACAATATTATATATCTTTTTTGTAAAGATTGTTTTATTGAAACTCAATAATGTTCAGTCAAGAATACATAACAAGCTAAATAACACCATTATTTTTTATTAATTAGAGATAAAATGTATATGCGAAAATTTGAAAAATGAGCTTTAACTAATTTATATAAAAGGACATTTCGGCCTATGTTATCCTTTTGACATAGATGATCTTGTATACTTCAATCTATAATATTTCCTCAAATTTACTTTTTTATATCATGCAATTCATATAATCAATATAATAATTGCTAATATACAGGATGGAGCACCAGGGTGGAGAAACAAAACACAGAATCTAAACCCTGCAGGAAAAGTTTCAAACAAAAGTTGTACGGTTTGAAGAGGGACAAATATGTGTTTTCTTCTTTTCTTTATACCAATTAATTCATCTTATAATTTTGTACATAAAAATATTAACGTACAGTTATTAAAAAATGAATAGTTTACAAAATTATATATTTAATTTTATATTTTATGTTAAAGTATGTTAGGTATAAAATATCTCGTACTGATTTTTCGATAACTTTAATATTTTTATGTACAGAATAACAAAAACAATCATATAAAAAAAATGATAAAAATCGTTCTACTTAAAACAAATAGCAATGGCTTTTATGAGATATTGAAAAATCGATTTTTTTGGAAAGTTATTTGTCCCTCTTCAAACTATACAACTTTTGTTTGAAACATTTTTGCCTGTTGGATTTCATTTTCGTCATATTCCGATATTTTGTTTTAGATGTGTGCACCCTCCCCATGCTATATAATTTTCATAATTTTATTACAATACTTTTTACGAATCACTTGAATATTCAATTTGAATGAATGCTAATGGCAGTACGATAAAGACCTAGTATGTTATGAGCCCGTGTCACACTGCGTATTGGAAATTAAGGCTTGCGAATTAGAGATTAGAATTCGATCAATCAAAATAAAACGGATTAAAATTAAAATTATCTGATTAATTGAAGTCTAATCTTCAATTCACAATTCACAATGCATTTCCACGGATTATACATGTTGTACATGTTTTATAATAATATAATTGGTCTTTTTTTTATCAAGGCTCTTAATCTATTATCTCATATTATAATAATAGATATTACGAACTCTCTATAATATATCACAAATATGAAAGAACAATTCTTAAGATTCCTGTTTCTTTTGCTGCAGATATATTGACTTGTGACTTATGAAGTTGTGTGAATTTCTTTTTACATTATCGAAATAAATTGATTTTTTTCATACGTTACTGCTTGCGTTTTGCAAGAAACAAGAGTCTTAAATGTAAACAGGCGAGCATCGTTTGAGATCTTTCAAATATTATCATTTAACCTTTTGTGATCCTTGGACTCAAGATAATGCAAGATTGTAATAATTTTCGCATAATTTTCAAGCATTCAAATCTGTATGCGATTATACTCAGTAAACTAGATTTTTGGAATTTCCGAAACTTCAAGTAATAAATACATTCTTTGATTCGTGTTATACCCGCTGATTAGATAAAATTGATTTTTACTCTTTTGTGAAAAATAACTTGGATCGCAAAAGGTTTAATACATAGAATTATATTCTTAATTATTAATACGTAAAATTATATTTTATGTAATATACGTAAATTGCTTATTTTGTTTACAATGTATGGAGTTTCTATTTCATTCTCATTGCAGAAATTATAAAATTCTCAATCGCTATCATCATCATTATAATCTTCATCGCCGTATCCATATGTACTATCATATTTGCGTTGATGCAGTTGTATCGCGTTCTTGATAGATGCATCGGAGGCTAATTCCTCCGCGGTGACACCGTCATTATTTTTTAATGTCGCATCGGCATCGTGCTCCAGTAATAAATTTATTATCTCCAAATGTCCGTGACTCGCTGCTACGTGCAGTGGCGTGTCACCCATTTTATTCTACGTTTGAAGGAGAAGGAAAAGATTAAGAAATAGTTTTGTGCAAAACAAACACAAGTGTCAAATCAAGATATAACGGCGACAGAAGCAAGTGTTCATACTTATATCTTGTATTTAATATTAAACATGACCATTTCTGAGTTTTGTCTACTTCACGAAAGATTAAACGTTATGATATTACAACGAGTTTAAAATGTTGTGCAGCTATGTTTAATATTAAATAGGAATATATCCAATTCTCCAATACAGATCCATCTTCTTACTTGAGCGTTTACCACAGGATTCAGCAAATTGAGAAGCTCTCTCACACATTCTACATGGCCAGTACGTGCCGCCCAATATAACGGTGTGTTTCCAGCTGCATCTAAACCTGTTCCCGATATGCCCTCCTTCAAGTATTCACTCAGGAAGGAAACATTGCCACGTCTTGCAGCATCGTGCAGCGGCAACTCGATCTCTTCTGTTTGCTCTTCGACTGAGAACAATAGATTACGAACATAATAGAAAAAAATTAATTACAAGCACTGATGAGTGAGAGATCATGAACATTTTACATTGAAAAAGTAAATAAATATTACACATTCCTCCTCACCATAAACGGCAGGTATAAGTCCCTTCTGATCTCCACACTTGGCTCTCCACCAATTTGGATCCGTATCTCTGTCATAAACGTAAATTAAATCACCTTCGTCGAATGATAACTCATCCTCCTGTAAAAAAAAAATTATTTTTAACTTAAAAAGTAATATGTCATATACTTTCATAAGTAAAAAAAATATATGAAGAAATATAATTATATATTACACATACACCCTCCTCCCACAAACATACACACACACATACGCACACACACACATACACACAATCTATTATACATATGTATATGTAAAAAGAGGGAAAAAAGATAGACAAAATGTGGGAAAATATACTATTTTTATTAATAAAAGATTTACCTACTATTTGTATTTAATAGATTCTATCTTTGTTGGAATAAAGTCATATAATATTCAAATTGATGATCAATATGTTATATCATTCTTCTAGCAGAATATCTTCCAATTGCTTAAGAGATATTTGTTATTATTGAAAGAGAAAATCTATTTCTCAATCTGCTTTTCAAAGTTGCTCACAATGAATCAACATTTAAGTTGGGCGATTGTGCTGGCACGGGATAAATATTGAAGTTTTGGAGAACAAAGGGTAATATTGAAAAGAAAGAGAAGCAAATTTTTTACAAATTTTAACATATATAAGCGATTGAAAGATGTTCTACTAAAAAAATAGTACATTTGGTGGACTATTTAAGCATTATACGGTTATTTTAATAAAGATAGAATCTGTAATAGGCAAATATGGTAAATCAACTTTTTATTAATAAATCAAGTATTTCTCAGACATTATTTTATCCATCTCTTGTGTATCTAAATAATGTAAAAAATATAAGAAACGTATTTTGTTAATAGAGATTACACATGTAACTTACACGTTGCGCAGTATACTTGCATAATGTCCTGACCACTTTTACCTTACCTTAAAGATAACATATAATGTTAACACATTTACATAAAATATCTTATTTAAAAAAATAAAAATCTCTTCGTGTTTAATTGCAAAAATAAAAATATATTGTATATTCATTTTTGACAGGATTATTCTAACCTAGACTGTGCAATAATTATATATTTATATATATATTAGCACAGCTACACCAAATAATGTTCTTCTAATAATCACGGTAAAACCATAATTTTTTTAGGCTGTTGATTCTTTTATTTCAAACATGATTCATACTCGATAAATTTTTTTTCAAATAGATCGAGATATTGGATACGCAATATAACCTTAAATTTATATATAATAGTTTTATTGAGTTTGTAACAAAATTAACATAAATAATATAATTACTATGTCATAAATATGTGATTTATATAATACATGGTCATTATATACATACAGAGATTCATATGTACATATATATATATGATTAAAAGTTTCTCTCATACACAATCATCCAATGAAAATAAGGAATGCCTCAGGAGTTATACAGTAAATTACTTGACCATCGTTATCAAATTGTGCATAACAAGATCATAAATTACATATTGCGACGCTGGATAAGGTTACAAATCGATTATATCGCTATTTTGTGGTATATTTACCAGGTTTCCAAGTGGTTTTAGGTGGCACAGGTGTTTTTACAAGCACACTCATGGCTGTGCAATTCTATCATCATATCAACCCAGTGACTCACACGGTACGCACAGTAACGCGCAGCTACACATTCCAATCGCGGTTGATACAGAAATTATCGATACGTTCCAATATAGAAATTATCTAAATCTTCTTTCTTGCCACCTTCATAAATAACACCATATCTGAAATACATAAGAATATGAGATGTAACTTAAGTGACAATTCAGCAGCTTCAGATACCTTTGTAGCCTGTTGGCAATAATGTGACATGATGCAAATTAGAAATTCGTATCGAGCAAGAAGCAAAAAAATTTCAAAAAAATAGCCATAGAAAATATTTGTATAATACAATAAAATACTCACTGAAAAATACAACCAGGACAAAGGCTATCATAAGCCATACCCAGCACCTCCATTTTGAGTTAGTGTGTTCTTCCAGCTTCAGGGATTCCTTCTTTAATTTAACAGCATTTACATCGGTCAATTTGTCGGACGTTTCCAGCATGCCGATATCTTTTCTTATGATAGCGCTTGCCGCTAATGCGTGCTCCTTCATAGTGCTGGTCATGGAGAGCATATTCTCGGCGATCTTCTCCTGGATATTACGATTGTACTTCAAGATAGCATCCAGATCCTCGTCCTGGATATTGGAACTCGATAATCTCTGTCGTACACCGTCCTTACTTGCATCTGCAACACATAACGAAATTTAATGTCGAGACAATAGTAAGTAAAAAAAAAAGGACCGACGAGGTGACACAAATGATTGAAGAGAGCCTATATCAATCAAAACCACAGTTCTTACATAAGACCTATATTTAAAGCAGATCTTGGTGTCTAATAATAATTTTTGTGTAAATTTTTACAATTTTCAGTTCAAGCAAACTGCATATCGATTATTTGTCGGTCTTGAAACACAAATCTAAACTGAGTACTATACTAATACTATATGTAATATCACAAATTAAATTGACTAGCAATCTAATAATATCCATATTAACAGGTATCTTTAAATCACTATAAAGAGTTTATTATGAAATATCACTTCAGGATTCAAACCTGGACATCAAGACACTAGAAGTGTGCGAATAGTTTGAATTCGAATCGATCGCCTATTTTATTTGCTTTATTTATATCTCCCGTGCGATCAATTATTCTTTTCGAATAAATAAGTATTTTTGATGTATGTAATGCATCCGTGTAGATTAATATGGAAAATATTTGAAATGCATTCAAACTATTTGTGTATACACATATTATTAATTACATATTTTCTAGTTCAAAATATCACATGAGATCATGATCCTTTGTAATGAGATGTAAATAAAAAACAGGTCTTCAGTGTGTTTAAG